GTCTGCCCGCAGCTATGACACATGGTAAAACAGCTAGCTGGGGTTATTTTAGCTGTGTAAACAGTTGTCTTCCCCTGATCCTACTGGAGTGGGGCGTAAGGATGTTGTGATGTCCCTGGAAGTATAGTCAGGGTACACGTCCCCCCTCCCCAAGACAAGGCATAGCCATGTGACTGTGCAGAAGCCATGCATGGGAGGCAGTGCCTCACTGCTCAGCCTCTGTCAGGGACAGACTATCTCCCTCAGGATTCATTGTGAGGCTTGGGTCATGTCTCTACTGCCCAAGGTAGCATTTTGCTGTAGTAATCTGTCTCCCAGCTGACCTTGCCTGATAGCCTGCTCAGCAGGGATCCTGGTTTTCTATGATAAAAAATCCTCAATCTTCAAATTTAAAAAAAGTATCCCAAAATCCACATGTTTCCATGATTGAAATGAAACACCGCTAATATATAAATATATGTATAGTAGTGTTTCATTTTAATCATGGAAACGTGGATTTTTAGTCACTTTTTTAACCCGAAAATTGGGGATTTTTTTTATCAAGGAAAACCAAGATCCCTGCTCATCAGGATTCTCCAGCACTGCCTGCCTATGTCCATCCCCAGGCCTTGGCTGCTTGCAGACCCACACAGTCTTTTATACTGCACTTCGCTCTGGGGCAGAGAAATGGACAGAATCTTAAGCAGGTCCTGGTGGGGCTGTTTCCAAAGGCACTGCATTTCACGTTGCTATGCATGTACCCCCTTGTGGCCAACATATCCAGTCTCCAGGAGGAAGACCACAGTACTCGCCAGTTCAAAATCCTAACCTCAGAGGACCTGCAGTGCTGTTTGGGCACATCTCCAAGCAGCAGGGACCTCAACAGCCCATTTCGATCAATTCATCTACTTCAGAAACACCCTGTGGAAGCCCAGGAACCTGCTCATGTACAGGCACACAAACCTCTCAATAGAAGCCAAAAATGGGACCTGTGTCAAAATGGGACCTGTAACTAATATTCACATGCTTTGCAGTAGCACCTGAATGCCCCTGTGGTGATCAGGGACTTATCCTGAGAGATACTGGGTGCATCTACAAGATGCATTAGGCTAATGCATTAATGTGCATTAACCTAATTTAATGTGTATTACAGAAACACATCTACACGTGCACGCCCTTAACGTGCATTAAAAATGGCAAAATTAGGCCAATCATGCCTAAATTTGATACCTGCTGTCCCAGGAGAGAAAAACAAACAAACAGGGAGGAAAAAATTAGGAAAATCTGCCTACCTTCAACAGGAGGCGCGACGCAACAGGAATCAAAGGAAAAGCCTGCGTAGCTCATTAGCTGCGCCTTTATTCAGCTGGGGCCGGCCAGTGACATCATGAGGAAGCCCCGCATGGCGGGGATAAAGGAAGCCAACTAACGAGGGAGAGGAGGAGAGAGGAAGGAGCCAGAGAGTACGGGGACACCAGGTCCCTTCCGGGATTATCTCCAGGAGAAAGAAACGGCGAACGAGGAGTCAAAGGAGGCTCCTGGTGCCCACTGCATCTTCAAGGGGTAGGAGCAGGATAATAACGCCGGAGGTGAGAGGGAAGCAACTCTGCCTGCCAACAGAAGCTCCAAAGGAAGGGGGAACAGCAGACACTGCGCAGAAGTTACCTCCACAGGTGGGAGTAGCGTGAGGCGGAGGGAAGAGGAGGAGCCTTGCTCAGGGAGCGGGCCACACCAAAGGCAGCCAGAGAGACAGCACAGCACACAACGGGTCATCCCGGGCGAGAGGGAGATCCCACCACCTACAGGAGAGTAGAGCGGGCTCCAGACAAGAACACCACAGGGGCTGAGGAACAAGGTAGCCCAGGCTATAGAATTAAGAGAAGGAGTAGAAGAGAGAAATAAAACCTGAGTAGGGATTCGCTCCCAGCCAAGTTGCAGGGAGCTTGGAGCCCAGGGTCTCTGAGGTAAGAGACCTGGGGAGGGAGTTGGTTTTTTTGTTCTTTCTGTTGGAAGGTTTTTTCTTTTGAGTTTCCCCAAGTGATGGGGTTGAGAGGTGGAAAAGGGATCGAGGAGGAGGAGAAGCAGTGAAGAATTTATGAGATGGCTTGCTGGGCTGAGGTTTGGGCAAAGCTTCTCCTAGGATACTATAGGCCCCAGGAGTCAGGCCGACTAGCACAACGAAAAGTTGGAGTAAGCCCGTCGGCCACGGAAGCCGGGATCCTAAGAGGGGAGTCCAATCACAAGGCTCTACAGAAATAGAGGAAGAGGTACAGGGCTGCAAAAATCAGACCAACTCACCGAGGTGGCATGAGGACGGGGTGTAGGGGTGGTGGAGCCCCGCTAGTGACCATCGGGACCCCGTGCCATGGAAGACCCCAGAATAGCCACTTCCCCACCACTAGGGAACATTCAAGTTGTGGCAGGCGAGATAGGGGAAAGCTACCCATGGAGGGAACACCAGCACGGCGTTTGTCGGGGAGGGTACAGGTAGAACACCCCTCCATGCACAAGCCAAAGTAGCACAGGACCGGCTACTCAAGACCCAGCGGTCACACCTGCAAATGCAGGTATCAAATTTAGGTGCAATTAAAGTGCATTAACACGTGTAGAAGTGACCCGACACTAACTTTAGTGCCTGGTCTGCCTAGCCACTAGGGGCACATGGCAGGGCTGCAGGAACTTGGCACCAACTTTAGTGCCAAGTGCACTAACTTTAATGCCAAGTCCTGCATGTGTAGACACCCGCCAAAAATCACTTAATGCACTTTAGCTTAATGCTCATTAAATTTAGCCGTGCTTAAATGCACATGTAGACGTGCCCGCTGTGTATACAAACAGTATGATATCCCTGCCTCAAACAGCTCACTAAGTCATGTCAGTTCCTTATCCCTGTAAGGCAGGGGTGTTTTGCACATCAAGTTGATAAATGGGAAAGCGTCTTTTAAGTAGGGTCAGAGTTGAAATTTAAAGAAATTGTGGTCTCAATTGCAGGGTCTTTGTCTAGCTTGGACTGCAGCTCCTTGGGACTGGGTCATGAAAGCTGGAATTCACTAAGAAGTACATAACAACTCACCTGCTGAATCAACTAGCCCTGAAAATGGATGGTGCTGGAGCACTGGACCCATACTTGTGGGAGTTGGGCAAGGTCAGGAAATAAATATGTAACATGGAGGTTGGCTGGATATGATGGGGCCTTATACACTCATCTTTGGCTGGGCCTCCCAGACACTTCCTTTTTTCTGGAGTAAAGTTAATTTGAGATTTAGCCTAATATAAATCATAATCTAACCTACTCTCTGTGTGGACGGTGTTCTTGTCCCTTTCATCATGTCATGCCATGAGTGGGGGCTGTCAAGCGACCCTCTAATGGATCTTTGTTAAAATTATGCAGCACGCTGGAAAGGACGGAGGCAGAGGCGGTGCCAGCCCCTTCCCAGTGAGGGGGCTGATGTGGGCTAGACAGAAAATTGTGGGGGGAGGCTGCATTGTACATCTTCTGGTCAAACATACTTATTCATTTTGTTTAACAATACCCACTTAAACATGTGTTTTATCTATGTTATTTGCAAAAGGAGAATATATATATAGTCTATGCAACCAGATTGGTCTGGGCAGGGCTGGGAGTGCCACATCTCTGTGGGCTACAGGCGGGAGTGGAGTGGGCTCAGCTACACAGGGTGGGCACTGGCAGCCCAGGGTGGGGGCAGGGGGCTTGGACAGGGGCAATGCTGGGAGGGGTGGCTACGGCGGGGCTAAGATGAATTTTGAGGTTGCTATAGGCCCCCCAAGCCTCCCCCTAGTGCCACCCCTGGGCAGAGGAGACTCCCCTTAACTGTTCCCTCAGAGTCTTCCTGGCCACCCCCTCAAAGCTCCCTCAAAGTATGTGGGATTTCCTCTGGGAGTGATCTTAAGGTAGGGGTGTCAGACATATCATCCAGGGCTGGATATGGTCCATGGAGCCATGTTATCTGGCCTGTAGGACTCCCAGAGGGGCCAGATATTTGGGGGCTGGGCAAGCAGGGGCAAGGTCCACAGCCAAAATCCCAGAAACTGAGCCCGGTTGGGGATGTGGGTCAGCAGTGGGAGGGATGACAAACAACTGTTCATGGCTGCTACTGCTTGTCCCACTACCACATCTGGACCCAACCTGTAAGGAGGGGTGAATTTGTCATCCCTTTCCTCAGGAACTCCATTGCTTTCTGGATGAAGAACTTCTGGGTTTACCAGGATTCTTCTGAAGGGATCAAGGAATAACAGGCATTTCCCATCCTCCATGAATACTTTACAGACTTCCTGGATTCCCTCTAAAGAGTTTACACAATCCCCAGGGGCTTCAATTACACGATTCCTGAATCCCAAGTTCCTGGGGTCTGACATGAGAAGCTACGAGTCCCCTAGGTTTCCAGGGTCCATAGGGAAAGCTACTGGAGTTCCCACATGATTGTCCTCGGACGAATTTTAGATGAATCCCTAGCCTCAGAGTCACATCCTGGAGGAGTGACAGCCCTGAATACTAGGGGTCCGAGTGCCCCCTCTCCTGCACTAGCACCTGAGCCTCTAGATTAATAATTAGGTCTTCACTCTCTCACCTGGCAAACCAGCTAGAGTTGAAACTGTCACCATGTAAATTCAGTGTGATTGAACCCAGCTGCACCTCCTCCTTGGCCAGCTCTGAAAGACACCAGGATGACTCAGATGTATCTAATTAGCGAGGGGCATGAGTGAGGAGGCATGAGGGGGCGGGAGGACAAGGGAGACAATTTTCCCAGAGATACTAGAGCAGTGTTTCTCAACCAGTGGGACGTGTCCCACTGGTGGGACTTGAAGGTCGTGTAGATGGGACTTGGCCCGATTGAAAAAAATCAGTTGCTAGCACTTCAAATAGATGAATCAACAGATACCTCGAACAGTGCAATTTTGTGGGGGTTTGTTTTTATCATGGTGGAACCAGGGGTTTTTGACAAAATGGTTGGTGGGACGTAAGGTGCAAAAGGTAGAGAACCGCTGTACTAGGAGACTGAATTGGTCTGGATCCTGAGGAGTTCAGGATGAAAAGCCCATCCAAAGGATGAGTTTGCTGAGCTCATGCCATGGGCTAAAGGCATGGGCAGAGAGCAAGAAAAGAACCTCAGCAAGCATAAAAAAGTCCTTCAACACCAAATGAAATACAGGGGGATGGAAACAGTCACCCATAATACAGCTCCCAGTTCACAATTCCACCAGCCTTTTTCACAGGCAGCACCACTGTTAGAAAGCAATAGCAATGGCTGCATTTTCATATGCCCTCCCCCCTCAAAAAAGATTTAATGCTCCAGTGTGGCAAGTAGGCCTGGGGACTGAAGGGTAGGGGAGCACGTATTGTCTCTAAGAGTTCACAGGGCCCCATACAACAGGGAGTAAGTGGCCTCGCCTAACGGCTGGGGTCTGCTGAAACAGGAAAATCAATAGTGACTGTCTGCTGATGGACGGAGTGAGCGAGACAGAGAGAAGGGGGGAGGGCAAGGGCAAAAAGAGAAGGAGCCTGCCAGCTTGTAGTGAGAGAAGCTGAGGGGAGTCGCTGTAGTCAGTGACGCTGTGGGAACAGACTCTGTACTCGGGGATTCTACAGGGCTCATCTCCCTTCCCTTCCTCAGCCCCCCAAACCACCTGGGGGATTCACCTTCCCAGCTACAAGACCCATGCCCCACACAAATCAGAGGCCATGGCAGAGGCCTGGCTGCATTAGGCACATGGGAACTGATGGAGAGTCTGCCTTAATGCAAGTCACTTATTGACCCTGCAAAGCTGAGGGCGGAGGAAGATTGAAAGGAGGAAATGTAGGGAGAGAGCTCCTATTAGCAGCATCAAAGCCATATATTATCATCTGGAATTACTGCACAGACCAGCAGGCAGGCAGCCAAAGTGGTGGCTGCTGTTGCACCCAGCATCGGCAGTGACCTGGGCTTCCAATGACACAGGGTCTTTCATGTGGTGTCCTTGGTCTGTCAGCCAGGCAGCTCCCCCACCCACCAATCTGCTGAGTACCATTGGGAGGGAATTTCAGATAGGTATTGAGCCAGGCCCTGAGCATAGAATGGGCACTAGCAATCAAACAGCATGCACGGATACTGGAATAATCTGGCAAAATGGAGACTGGGGCCCCAGTCACCTAGGGGCAAAATGGAAACTGGGGCCCCAGTCATCAGTGTTGTCCTGGGTGGCTATGGAGCAGCTGGCTGGAAGACAGGACCCCTGGGTTTTAATCTGTGCTCTCTCACTGTATAATGCTAAATAAGTCACTTGGGGACATGTCTCTTCTGTTCCCATGCCCCTCACCCCCCCAAGAATGCTATCAAAAAGTACACCCCGCCTACCTGCACATGCCAAATGTGCAGAAAAGGCAGAGAAGCTGCCTTGAGAGCAGTCCCCCGCCCTTCCCCATTCTTAAGCATCCTGGAAACAGGAATCTCAAGATGGTGTCCTGAGGTGGGCTTCCCTGCCTTGTTTTGAGGTTTGGGGCTTGCAAGAGCAGGGGCAGGTGTTCTTGGGGGCAATGGACTGTCAGCATGCACACAGCAGTGCCCTGTAGAGATACCCTGACCTAGCTGTGAGGAAGCTAACTTAGGAACCAGGAGCATACATGGGTTAGGACAGTGCTGTACCTGGGCTAATCAGGCCTTCCCAGTGAGGCTAATTAGTCTGGGTGGAGCATTGTACTAACAGCTATACTGCTTCCAGCTCTGCAGACCATGCCTGCAGAAATAGCTCAGGTATCTTTGTACAACACTGCCTTGCCCTGTATGCGCATGATCTTAGTGCCAAATGCTGGTCTCTGAATATAGTGGTGCAAATCCAAATGAAAACCCTGGCTTGGTTGAGGTCATTTTGGGTTTACACCAGGATAATGGCAAATGGAATTTGGAGCATGAGCTCTCTGTACCTCGTGTTCCACCCATGAGAATGAGGGTGATGACATTCACTCACCTCTCAGGGGTCTGTGAGGTTTCAGTCATCAGTGTTTATAGAGTGCTTTGATATCCTTGCATGAAAGCCAATTCTGAAAAGTGAAGCAAAGTGAAATGGCACCAAGAGACTCTTGGTACATCACAGGGACTTGTAAGGCTTTGTGAAGCTTATCTCACGACCCTCCTGTGAGAGACAGAAGTGTTGTCATGGAGGTCCCTAAAGCTTGGAGAGACCAGGGATATGGACACATGAGAAATTTACCACTGATTGAAAGGGGGTAAGGGCTTTATTGTGCATCAGCTGCTCTATGGTACCTGCTCATGTGTGCACTCTTAAACCATCAGAAGTGGAAGTTAAACCATAATAGCTTCATCCATAATGGAGGAAGGGGAAGTTACCACAGTTTAGCTCTCATTTACCATAGCGAAAGAGCGTGCACATGGGCTGTGGCTGAGAAGCAGCTGGCATGCAATCAAGCCAAAAGAAGCAGCTGGCATGCAGGAAAGCCACTGTGGAATAACTTGTTTGTATGTCCAGATACTGACTTGCCCAAGGTCACAGAGGACATCTCTGGCAGAGCTAGAAGTTGAACCCAGATCCTACGCTAGTTCCTTCACAAATGGCAGAAAGTACAGACACATCTTGCAGCTTCTGGGCCACTTCAACCCCAGTCCCCTGTCTGCCTGTTTTGTTCTTCCTGCCAAGAAGGGTGAGAAGGCAGGAAGGTCTGTCCTGTAGAGAAACCCATTTTCATCACCCAAGTGGTCCTCTGAGGCTGGGATATGGCAAGCAGCCATTGTAAGAAAGAGTTTTGCAACAACTCCCAGGATTCCTGGTGTCATGTGAAAGGAGCGATCAGCAAAAACAGCCAGATCACAATGTGCTCAGAGCCATTAGATTTGGAGTTTGCTGTGCCTGGGATTGCCGCTGCTGAAAACCCACCTGGTCCAGCATTACCCTTTTAGTCACAGCGTGAAATGAACAGAGCTGCTAGTAACAAACATTCTTCCTTTTCTTTCTGTCCAAGTGTTTCTACAGTACCTCTCACAACAGCATACTCCGCACCTTCTGCCTGAGGATCTCAATGCACTTTACAAAGAATTGCACTTCCAAACCATCTTAAAAGGTCCACGTTTTTATCCCCATTGCATTGATGAGGAAACCAAGTCACAAAGAGGGGAAGTGATTTCCCTAGGACCA